TAGGAAAGCGCTGGGAGTTGTGTTGAATCGGATGGACAGTGGGTTCAGAGTTTGCAAGTTTACCAAAAATAATCCATTGGATAATGAGATGTAAAACACAAGTTTTAAATTCATTATAAAACTATTAGTTTATTTTGTGTATATTTTCTGGTTTTTATTGGTTTGAAACCGGATTTTTTTCAGTCAATAAATCCAAATAACTTCATAGGATTAATATTTGAAATATTTTTAATCATTCAAACAGAAATGGATTACAGATTAATGATTTGATTACACACTTAAATGGCATTCAATTTGAAAGAGTCAGTCAATTAACGCAAACTCTACACAAACTTTCACTTAACGACAAATTAACGCTTAAAATAATGAGAAACGGATCAGAAATGAATGTTTCAGTTGATGTCAAGCCTATTAATTGTATCGCCATTTAACACAACTATTGATTAATAAATACATTTTTGCGATAAATATAATGATTCAAATAATTTCAAATATAATTGTCTCATAACCTAAGCATTTGTAATATAAAAAACAATCTAAAAAACAGTTAAACAATTACATCGAAATAAATTAGTTAAAAAATGACACTAAAATAATAGCATTCAATTGCATTCAAAAGTGAGCTAATCTTCATCTCCTTTTGCCGATCGCAAACCCGCCGCCAAAGCCCACACCACCGCCAATAGCACCGCCGCCGACACCAAAACCGGCTCCAAAGCCGTGCGAATGACCGCCAAAGCCGACACTTTGGTGGCCAAAAGAGTGGTGACTATGGCTGATGACAGGCGACGACTCTATGAACGACGTCTCCTGAATCACAGCCGGCTGTATGACCGATGTTTCCACTGTTTTGGTGATCACTGGTTGCGAGACAATCGTTTTGGTCACGGAGACGGCCGGCGATGAGAAAGCGGACGACGAGATGCCCGACGAGAAGTGGGACGACGACGAAGAGGACAGTCCTGACAGTCCCAGCCCTCCGGCGGCGAAACCTCCGCCAATGCCGCCCACTATAAAGCCGGCGCTGAGCGACACAATGGCCGACAAGAGAGCTATAGTCTGAAGGAGGAATGGGTTATGAAATGGTATATCACTTATAGTTTGAGATAATATTTTTACCCAAAAAATCATTGCTTCAAATGTGGAGACGCTATGAAGTGGTTATGCGTTTGAATTGAATGCCAAACACTATTTGATGTGTTTTTCGTAACTCTCTTGGCTTTTATGGTCAAGAATTGTGATTAACTTTTAGGCAAACGTTAAGTCCATTTGAACGCAAATCTCTCGCACAACACAAAGTCAATGGCTATTAATCTATGATTTATTGCTAATCCATTGAAGTTTGCGATTAGATATGCGATAGGAATTTATTTAATTTCTGTTTAATCCTTTGGGTTTATTTGAAACTTTCTAGTATTGAAGTATTGAAACATTACAATCATTTTATGAAACTTACTTTTTTAGATATTTTCGTAAACTTTAATATGAATTATGAAAATTATGTTATATTTTACGATTAAAATTAAGTGATAAAATTTAATAGATTTCAATCTCAATATCAAATACAAGTTATTTAATAGTTATTTAATTATAATTTATTGAAATATAAAATAATATAAATAACCCATTCGTTCATCCATTCATTCATCAGAGTCTTCTGAATCAGAATCTTCTTCAGCCATCTCTTCGGCCATTCCTTGCATTTCTTCTCTAAATGTTTGCATTTCTTCTCTAAATGCTATAATATCTTCATATAATTGAATCATATCTGCCGTCACTTCTTCAACCATTGCTTCCATTGATTCCGCTTCTTCTTCACCGTCGTTGTCGTCCTCCAAGTGCTGGCCATCAGTATTATCATCGATACGCTGGACAGCCGTTCGGTCGTAGACTCCATCGGAAACTATATTATGGATAATACCGTCGATGTGTTGGCGACATATCGGACACCGACTAGTAGTTTGAGTGCCACTACGGATACAGTTGTAACAGAACTGGTGAAGACATGGGTCTGTCAGCGATCGGTCGGTCACATCGGACAGACATATGGGACATATCGTCGCCTCATTGGCGGCGCTTCCGACGGGACGACCGCTAGACATGTGTTGGCGACTCAAATATTTGCTCAAAGATAGACACTTTGCGGACCAGTTATTTGGCCAATAGGTGTGCAGTGACTGATGGGTTAGGATGTGATGTCGGGTGCTGTCAATGTGTGGCCTCAAAACTGGGCGTTAGGTTTCAATTGAATTGCGTTTAAAAGTAAAGGTAATTATTTTTGAATAGACCGTGAGATCTAATACATGCATCTCATTGTTGGTCCCGTGTATTGAATCCATTGAAACAATCAAAAATAAATACACAAAATGCTTATCAGTAAACTTACTGTACATTTACTGTACAGTACTGTAAAAGTTTTGCTAAAAACTTTATGCATTGGCTTTACTTTACATACAAAACAATGTGAAGTCAATGATTGAGAATCGCGTGAATTGTGTTAATTGTTAATTAGATTTGAATCCAATTCCAAACTCTATTCAGTGGTTCTGTCAAACGGTTCCCAAAAACAATGTCTTCTCTATTCCGCGTCCAAACGCCCGGCACTCAGACCAGTGGCCCGAGTGGTCAGTATTTGGTACAATTCAGAGCCGGCAAAATGATCCGCTCCGGCACTACGGTTAGTATAGCGGCACTGCAGGGGCTCGACGTTAACTGACCACTCATTTTGATCATACCATTCATTGACCAATAGGTGAGTCCAGTGAAGGACCGCAAAGGACTGGTATATCTTCATCAGAGCGACGACTCGTTGATTCACTTTTGTTGGAAAGACAGAGAGACCGGACATCTGGAGGACGTAAGTGTGGATTAAGTGCTACTAATGGCCACTAAATTAACCGTAAATTTGTTTTTTTAACGGAAAACTGCGGCCAAAACCTCAGGATCTGATACTATTCCCAGAGGACGCCGTCTTCGAGAAAGTGGTTCAGTGCACGACTGGTCGCGTATTTGTCCTCAAATTCGTGGCCAACGATCGCCGATATTTCTATTGGAGTCAAGAGCCGAACGCCGCCAAAGATGACGAATTGGTGGCCAAATTCAATGAGAATATACGCAGCCCTCCTGTGCCCGGAGCTGTTGCTGGCGGTGGTAGTGGTGTGCCATCACCTGATGATATACAGACACTGTTGAACAGTATGTCTCGCGCAGAGATCGAGACATTGATCGCAGGTCTGGGCGGACCGCAAGGCATCGCCGAACTCCAGCAACACTTTGCGCAGACCCGCGGCTCTCAACCATCGGATCCAACGTCTCCTCTTGCGATCAGTTCCTGGACATGATGTTAGGCGGCGAAGAAGAGCACGCGATACTACTCTGCAATTACTTCCTATACCTGGAGAAACGGGCGGCCATTTTGCTGGGCTATGGCATACCCGAGGGTCTGACCGCTTACGTGATTGTCTTCGAGTACGGCCGCGACCCCTATGTCTTCAACGCGTCCACCGGTGAACAGTATAGCGTCAGAGATAGTTATATACCATTGAATTCAATCGGTTGTGTTATTACACC